ACATCTGGAAACCAAGTACTATAAACACTCAATAAATATTTGATTATATATTATGACCCTCATCCCTACCACCCCAAAAAGTGAAAATGTTTAATAGACTAAAGGTTCATATTTAACTAACCTTGGCAGTCAAAACCACATGACTTCATGTATCACTTCAGAGAGCCTCAAGTCTACCTCCCCAACTTCACACTGCCTCATTCTATTTTAAATGCCAGCAAAGGGCAGGTGATTGCATTTTAAATGTCTGGAGTGACTTTCTACTAGCTTTAAATTATTGGCTATTGCTAACCCACAGAGTTGACAACACACTCACAGTCCACTTGGTGGGCAGACTAATAAGGATGTCCTCAGGGTTTGCATTACCAACAGCTCCTGTTGCGTTCTGCTCTGTGGGATCTTTAAAGTATTGTGCTGTTTTAATGGACTTTTCTCTATTTGTTTCTGTGCAGGATCTCTCTTAGAAGTAACTTCACTAAGTTTTAGATTAAAATGACAATTATAATCTTCTCAATTAGCTAATCAAAATGTGAATAAAGCTCATGCAAAATCAATTACTTAAATGATGACATTACAGATACTATAGTGAAAGATTCAGGAAAATAATGTAAACTTGGAATTTTAGCCTAATATTTCCAGACTGAGAATTTTACTATAATAAAAATTGCATTTTACTGATAAATCCCCATATAACGATGTTTCATTTATACCATTTATTAATTTCTATGTTCACAGTTATATAATATTATTTTTATGAACTGCTATAAAAGTTCAAGAATTCAATACCAGTAGCAATATCACTATAGAACCATCTATAAAATTCAGCATGTAAATGTATGAGCTTAATTTTCTATATCTTAACAAGTGCTGGTGGCGTTTCAATAACAATCTACCGGTCAGATATGAAGGTAGCTCTGAAAAATGCAGCCAAATCAAAGAGCAAAATAAATGAAAATATCTGTAATTCTTGATAGTGATATTTAATAATGTAGCATCCGGAAGTATGATTTTAACTCCGATTTAAAGAATGATAATACTAACTTTGGAGATCAGGGGGAAATATTATTGTGTATACTGATAACTGCTATTTGCTCTCTATTAATTAGATTTTTAAAGGTATATTATCTTATTAAGAATTATTTGTTAATGTCCCCAAAGAATTACAATGGTTATTATAAAACTGCAGTAATAATTTGAAGCAACCAAGTTTAAGAACAAGCTTAGGATAGAAAAGAATTTTAAAATGTTCTAAATGCTTTTTCCCTATTCTCCAATTCTAAGATCTATAAACAAAAGACAGCCTACTGCCTTCTTAAAAGTAAATCTTTGATTTCTCATCTCTTTTATAGAGAGTAACTAATTGAATACCACAAAAGTAGGTGGATGAGTTTATGGATTGTTTTAGTGGAGTCAAGAATAGGGCATATGAAGCATTTTAAAAATTGAGTTTCATATTTTATAATGTCTAACAATAGACTTTGGGATCAATGAATTACCAGATCAATTGTATTTTAAGTAAAAATACCCCCACAAGATTTGGAAGAACAAAGAGTATTAAAAGGAAAGGTTATCGAACTTGGAATTGGGAGAGCTGGATTTCACTCCAAATTTTGGCATGACAGATATTTAACTTTAAATGACATTTTGATCATTGTTAATAAAAATATTTGAATCCCAGACAATTAGATATATTTTAAAATTTCCCAAACTAACTTTAGACTTAAAGGATAGTTGAGCAATTGTACAAAGATTTTTATATATCCCTCTCACAGCTTTCTCTAATATATCCATTTCACAGAACTGTAATGAAATTGTTGGAACCAAGAAATTAACATTGGCATATTACTATGAACTACACACAAGACTTTACTCAAATTTTATCAGTTTTTTCAGTAATGTTCTCTTTTTGTTTCAAGGTCAAATCCAGGATCACACATTACATTTAGTTATTATTTTTCCTTTGTCTCTTTTAGTCTATAACAGTTCTTCAGACTATCCTTGTCTTTCATGACTTTGACACTTTCAAAGATTATTAATAATTTACTTTGCCCAATGTAAGTTGGCTGAGTCTGAAGGCGTCTTCATGACTAGACTGAAAATATGTATTTTTGTCAATAATATCACAAAGCTAATGTTGAGTTCTTAAAGCATCACATCACAGGACCATAATCTGCTGTCTTATTACTGATAATGTTGACCTTCCTGGTTTCTCCACTGTAATGTTGTTGTCTTTCCTTTGTGATTAAAGTATGTTAAGATGTGTATTTATTTACATATTTATGGATTCACTATTATTTTTATTCTCTGGATTATAACCAAGTCTATTATATTTATTTTGTTGGTCAAGTAGGTAGTCCTTACTTCAGTGTGATGGATGTTTTATACTAAGACTGCATCTTTTTGAGAGCATGACTTTATTTTTTAGTTTTGAAGAAAAGATAAACCAGAAACAAAAGAGTTTGTTTTTTTGCCAGGCATGTGTAGAAAAGAAATGGACAGAAGTATTGTTAATAACATAGCAGAGATTAGAAGGAAGTGACATTTCTCATTATCTTTTGTATATTCAAACTGCTAGAATTATAGTAATATTTCATATATTTCAAAGACAAATCAACAATTAAAATCAACCAGGATGTGGGAAAACTCAAAGTGGAATACAAACACTAATAAATAACCCTAACTCTATTAGCATGTTGATGAGCAAGAAAAGAACTATTGTAAGTAATTTCAGAAAATAGGACCTTGACTGGATATTGTCAAGGACAAAAAACAAACAAACATATGTATGTAACAAGTATGCTTCATGCAGAGATATGGGTAGCAATTCTGAAACTTCTTTGGATGTATACTATAGTAATCAAACAAGTGAATATATTGTAGTTAATAAGAGCCAGGTTTCTCACTGTTTGAGAAAGAATTTATAAATACAATGGGGCAATAAGGACACATAAGTAATACCTTAATCAATAAAGAAAAAGACATTATTTAAAAAAGGCAATTTGTCTGTGGTATTCGAATGAAGTTAAACTTATTAGTATATATATGTGTGTATAAATAATTAGATGCAGAAACATCGAAATTTTTATTTACAGGGATTGGTGTACATATATTCCCTAGCTCTGCGCAATGAGAAGTCTGGGAAGCAATGGCACCCCGGTAATAATAAATATACCTGGAGCCCAGATCGTGGATCCTAAATGCTATTGTTCATTTAAATATATTTAAAATGCATCAAGACTCCTTGTGGAATCAGGGTTGGGGCAGAAAATATAGTTTAAGGTATTTTAATGTTCTAGTTCTAAATTATTCAGTTTTGTTCACCAGGGGAAGAGCATCAGTACATCAAGCAAATAATCTTCTATTAATTTTAAAGAAATTGAAGAAGACATCTCCTTAATAGTAGGATTAGAGCAGAGGTTTTCTTCATATTAAAAGGAAAATAGTGATGTTGATGCAAGCCAAAAAAACAACTGAGGAACCCTCAATTCTGCAAGCCAGTGATTCTAAGACTGGTTTGTAATGTATGTAAGTTATACTTATGCTTGTTCCAATAAAAACTTATTTATTTCTTTATCCAATACCTCTAATAAATGAACAAGTATTTTTATTTTTAGTAGGATTCCCAAATACATTATTTAATAAACATATTTCTTCATTACAAAAATGTAAGTGAAATATGCATAATAAGCAATATCTAGTGAGATAAGTATCCACAAGTCATGCTTCACAGGTATGTTCCAATAGCAGATGTATGAAGAATACACAGATAGTTACAACACAAGGCATAATCTATCATCATTGCAAAACAACAAGGCTATATTCTGGGAAACAAATTTAAGTAAATTTTCATAGGAGGCTGTTTTCGGAGAAATGTGACATTTGAAGAGAACCATGAAACGTAGGCTTTGAAAAGGGCATGAAAACGCTAGGCCAGTGGTTCGGCAAACTGTGGCTCATGAGCCACATGCGGCTCTTTGGCCCCTGGAGTGTGGCTCTTCGACAAAATACCACGTGTGGGTGCGCAGGTACAGTGTGATTGAAACTTCGTGGCCCATGCGCAGAAGTCGGTTTTCAGAAAGGAGACAGACGAAACAAGTATACAAGACGAGTGTGGATGGGAGAGTTGGAAGGGGTCGACCTCAGCGAACGTGCCTCAATCAGATTGAGAACGTTTTTAGCAAAGGCCAGCTTAGGAGTACCCTAATTAAGTTAATAACAATGTACCTACCTCTATAGTTTAAGTTTAAAGAATTTGGCTCTCAAAAGAAATTTCCATCCTTGTACTGTTGATATTTGGCTTGTTGACTAATGAGTTTGCCGATCTCTGCGCTAGGCTGTGGAAATCTAATGTGTTAAGACGTTGTAAAAAAAAAAAAAAAAAAAAAGTGAGTATTTCAATGTGTCTCAAGTTCAAGCAACTAGTTAAGTATTGCTTTTAAAAGGTGGCAAAAAAAAAAAAAAGTTAGAAGTCATTGTGTTAAACCACTGTCATTTATTCAGAGAAGAGCAAAGTGAGCAAATATAGGAGCAATTATTTCTGCCCCAAAAGTTTCAATTTTCCTACTGGGACCAGAAGTCAGCCTGGGTATGACTTTCTCATGGCTGTGGCAGAAATGTAAGAGAGCATCTCTCACTTGTGTTACATCAGTCAACATCCCTTTAATCAAAACAAGTCATGTGCTCAGGCCCAGAATCAAAGAGTAGGGAGTGCCCTTGTAAGAAATGGGTAGAGAATGAATATTTTCAAAAAATAATCTTGTATGAAAAACACGTTAGTCATTTTCTTTCTACAAAATATCCTCTCTGCATTCTACTAAAAATTCTTATCGTTATCGCTTGTTATTTGAATGTTTCTGAATTAAGGAACAATAAATAATTTATATTTTTGTACCAGTTATGTAATCCACTACCTTGACTTTAATATTTTAGTTGCTCATGGAACAGACATTTGTAATAATTAAAGTTTACTATATTTACAATAACTCAAAACAACATATCAAGTGCTCATTCTAGTAGCACATGTACTAAACTTGGAATAATAACAGAGAAGATTAGCATGGCCCCTGCACAAACATGACATGCAAATTCATGAAATGTTCTGTATTTTCTTGTAAGGAGTAGCAAATAAGCCATAGAGCTCCAATGCACAGTATAATGACTATCCTATATAATAAAAGCCTAATATGCTAAGTGTCCGGTCATCCATTCAACCAATCAAAGCATAATATGCTAATGATATGCTAAGGCTACTCAACTGCTCGCTGTCATGTGCACTGACCACCAGGGGGCAGATGCTCCAACTGGTAGGTTAGCTTGCTGCTGGGGTCCGGCCAATTAGGAATGAGCGAGGCGGGCCAGACATACCCTGGAGCCCTCCCATGGTCTCTCCCCGGCTGGCGAACTTCCCGCATCCCTCTCCAGCTCCGATCGTGCACTGGTGGGGTCCCTCAGCTTGGCCTGTGCCCTCTTGCAACCTGGGACCCCTCAAGGGATGTCGGAGAGCTGGTTTCAGCCCAATCCCTCAGGTCAGGCCGAGAGACCTCACTGGTGCACGAATTCATACACCGGGCCTCTAGTAGATAATAATATTGTACTACAATATTATGTGACAAATATTGCTTCAATGGCAATCATATGGCAATATGCAAATGTATCAAAGTAACATGCTGTACACTTTAAATTTATGAAATGTAACGTCAAATTTAATAATTAAAAAAGACAGTCCATAACGTTATACATTTCATTGAATTCATGATTGATTTTGAACTATTTGTCACAGAACTGAAACTGAACTGTTTTAAAGGAGAGAAATATAAATGGTATAATTGATGTAAATGGTGCATTTTAGCTATAAAATACTATGGTAGCTATATATGGTTTTAAAAAACATTTCCCTCTCAGCTTTTAGAGAAAACTGAATTCAATTAAAAATACACCTAAAGAAATGCTTTGTGACATATTGGTAACCAGTCCAGTTTTAGCATATCTAGTCACTCGAAGCATGGAAATATGTATTCTCTAAGAAGAACTTCTGTATCCCAAAGTCAGAGTCTAGCTGGAGGATTTCCAACTAGATGCCTAGTCATTGTTACAGAAAACTTCCTAGCTTTCCCCGTCTGAACATAATTCCATGTGTACTATCATGTACTACCTGGGGAGAATACTAGGTTTAAAAATGTGTTATGCATCGATGTGAGAGTTCATCCTTCTGTTACATTGTCATTATTACTCAGCAGGGAGTTCAAATGATAATTTAAGGTACCTTGAACTTTGGGTCTCCAACTTTACAAATTACTATATTTACCCTAAGTTTTTAAATCTATAGTAGAGGGAAGGCAGGTATTTATTTTTTTCATAGTTGTTTAACTTTAAAGATCTGGGAGATTGAGCTATCTTACACAAATAACAGGAAAAAAGAATGTATCTGGCTTTCAAAATGTGTAAATAATGGAAACCATCAATCTCTCTATACACAGTTATTATGGTTTCAAATAACTTCTAGAATGTGTTTTGAAAGTTGATCCTCCAGTTTTACACATGTGGTCAAGGAAACTGTTCCTTATTATATTAAAGCAAGCAATACACTACGTGTGAATGTGTGTGTGTGTGTATGTGTGTGTGTGTGTGTGTAAAACAACTGGTGAAAGATCTGAGAACTTTAAAGTATACAAGTCATTTTAGGTTTGTATGTATAATCTTCTTAAGACTCAATAAATATTAAACCCATAGATGATATATGTCAGTAATAGCTATTTTGAATGTGGACATTTATCTTCTGTCTCTATTTCAGTGGTGTTCAAAGTTTTTCTCATATGATATGAGATTGTACTATATATATTTCAGAGGCAAGATTATGTGAATCTGTTCTCCTGAAAAAAAAAATATAAGATTTGTTTTAAAATATTATTTCCTCCCACCATATTCCTTTGCTCAGAATAAATGAAATGTAAACAATTGTAACGGAACAATTCACCAATTATCAATTTATATGCAAATCTCATCAACTTTTCTATGACAATCATGCCTAATTCCAGGAAGGAATATGTATGATACTGTATCTCTGCTTTCCTACGAATTCACAAACTATGCTTTTTAAATGACTGCTGACCACTGGCTACTATGACCACACTTTAGAATGCAGAAGTGAAATATAGCACCTAACAGGCTAATTTTTCTTGTTGGCAGTGTACTATTTTCACTACTTAAATTTAAGTATTACAAAATCATGCATAGAGTAAAAGTCCAACATAAAATGTAAAAAGTAACATTTGAGCCATCAATTTAGTGTATTTGAATACAGCTCTTAATAAAATTTTCAGTGTATCCAGGGCATGCAAAAAATACTTAATTATTCTCCTTATTACCTGAACACTGTGATTAATTTTGTTCACTATTAAAACCATGTTTTCAACAGCACCCCCATGAACTCATGTTAGATCTAATATCATAGCCCTGACTCCTGAAAGTCAATAAATACTGATTGATCTGTAACCTCTAGAGCAGTGGTTCTCAACCTTCCTAATGCTGTAACCCTTTAATACAGTTCCTCATGTTGTGGTGACCCCCAACCATAAAATTATTTTTGTTGCTACTTCATAACTGTACTTTTGCTACTGTTATGAATCGTAATGTAAATATCTGATATGCAGGATGTATTTTCTTTGTTACAAATTGAACATAATTAAAGCATAGTGATTAATCACAAACACAATCTGTAATAATATATGTGTTTTCCGATGGTCTTAGGCGACCCTTGTGAAAGGGTCGCTCGACCCCCAAAGGGGTCGCAACCCACAGGTTGAGAACCACTGCTCTAGAGTATTGTTTTTCAGCAGAAGAGTTTGTTGAAAATTGTCCAGAAATGTAAACTAAAATATTACCTCTTATGAATATAAAATTTGTTACATTTCACCAAAAACCATCTCTTTTTTAAATAGGTCTTATTTTCTTCCTTGTGTAATTCTACCTTCTCCTAGACCAACATCTGGGTTTTCTCTTCAACCCTAATCTTAAATCCTCTTAAACTCGCTGAGGATGAATGGACGCTGTCATGGTTACTGAGATCCTGAAAGGGTGAGAGTAGAGAGAGAGTGGACCTGAGTTTACTCTTCATGGAAATAAGCACATTGCAATCATCAGTCGGATTTCCCATAGCATGCAAGGGAAATCAAAGTGGAATATTTCTCCTCAATATGCCTAGGCCCTGCAGAGTTTGAAATTTGAATTTAATGTCACTTTTCTGTTTTACAGAATAGTCTATTGATTATTGAGAGAGAGAAAGGGAGAAGAGAGAAATATCGATGTGAGCGTGAAACATCTATTGGCTGCCTCCTGCACACTCCCTATGGGGATCGCCTATAACCAGGCATGTGACTTGACCAGGAATTGAACCAGCAACTTTGGGTGCACAGGACGATGCCCAACCAACTGAGCCACACTTACACTGACCAGGGCTAATGTCACTTTTCTTTATGAAATGCTTTTGTTGTGATTGAGTCAATACATAACTCTATAGGTAATAGCAGGTCACATTCAGTGAGCTCTGATTTCTCATATGTGCTGTTGCTAAGGGTCCTTGGAGAACAAGAACTAAAGACCTTTGACCTTTCTGTCTTTAAAAATTGAGGCCTGATTCATACCAACGTTGCATCTGGACTTTGAGATTTCTGGGTGTTTTGTTTGTTTGTTTGTTTGTTTTAAATATGTTTTTATTTATTTTAGAGAGAGAAAGAGGAAAGGAAAGGGAGAGAGAAATATCAATGTGAGAGAGAAACATGGATAGGCTACCTACTGCACGCCCCTTACTGGGGATCGAGCCCAGAACCAGGGTATGTGCCCTGACCGGGAACTGCACCAGAGACCTTTAGGTGCATGTGATGATGCTCAACCAACTGAGCCACACCAGCCAGGGTGAGGTTTCTATTTTAAAAGAGTGAAGCAATCCCTTTCGTTTGGTGATTGAAGAAAAAGGCTTCTCCACGTATCTCCCCTACCCTTTGCCCTCTTCTGCCTTTCCACAGCCATTGTTTTCCTTTCCTTATCATATTCATGACTTGCCAAAAAGTTAATATAACTCAAAAGACAGGGCCAAATTGGCAGAGGGGTGTCCACCAAAGCTATTCACCCACTTCTTTTTCAATTAATTTGCAAATCAATTTAATAAGTTCTTGAAACCTCTGCCATCCACAGTCAACACTTGGTTTGGGAGGAGGGTGTCTACAATCTCATCTTATTACATTTTGACCTGTGGGCCCATGTCCAGCAGGGAGAGAAAAGAATATAACCTTTGGTCTCAGTCTGGTACTTTAATCCACTTTGGCACAGGCTGAAACCACCTGGGATAGACTTGCTGCTATGGAAAATAAAAATATGCCTTGTGAAATTATGCTTACAGACTTTTTTTGGTCTTGAGCAAAAATTTCCCCCACCAAAGTTTATTTGAATATAAATAAAGAAAGAGAGAGAAACTCAGAAAATAAATATTAGAAAAGCAATAAAAGATCCCTTTATAGGAAATGGCTTGCCCTAAAAGGAAGAACCACATCAAACCCAGCAAAAGGCCAATCCCCGCCTTTCTGTTTGCTCCTGCGAGTCCACCTGCAAGAGGCAGACAGACATTTGGGATTTTAAGGTGATGGCCAGGAAAACAGATTTATGAAGCTAAGTCTCCTCTACAAATTGACAAATGTATTTAGACATGAAAATTTGATTTTAGTCTTTTTAGAAAAGCCAACCTATACTAGATAAAGAGAAAAATCAAGATTACATATATAAGCATTATATAGATATATATTATATATATACATATATTTAATTTTTACAACAAAAACATCCATAATTATTAAGTAGAAAACACTATAGATGAAGCCAAGCAGTACAGCAAAAATCTATTATAGGCCTGGCCCAGCTGCCTGCTTTAAAAGTATTAAGGGCCCATGACTCTAGCACATTCATTTTATGTGAAAATAAATTTTCCTGAACCTTTTATATATCTTTCAGGACACATAAATATATTTTAATTATACACGTTTGCTTTCATTTTTTAAAATATCATTTTTTAAAAATGTACGTTTTTTAATATTCTTTAGTATTATTGAATTCACACCAT